CCGTGTATACAAGCCATGGCGATTGCATTCAAGTTGCCGCAGGACTTAGGCTATTGTCTTTAGCTAGCCGAAATGGACACAGCGTAGTTTTTGTCCACAAGTACAGTATATTGTGCTTGAAAATCGGTGCAGCCATAAGCCGGTATGGTGGGGTTACCTAGAATTCAAAACAGGTCACCACCTGGTGTTGTTGAGCTTATCTACTCGTCTCATAATCGGTAATGACACAAATCCGAGTATACCTGTTTGACCGAATTGTGTTATGTTCTCCTCCGATCACCACCAGCAAATGCACTGCACAGACTAAAAGTAGCACCGATGTTCGTAAATGTTTAACCCTCACCAGCAGATTACTTCTAAACCAGGCAGCTTTTGCCCTCTAATTCGCTTAGATATGGTTTACAACCATTTGCTTCTTCATTCAATACATTCTCATCTTATTTCAAATCATCCACCAGTTCATTGTAGGGGGGAAGAGCGGAAACAAACTTACCAACCATAGATGTATGCATTGTTTAGCAAACACAGCAGATGTTGGAGGGATAAACACATAGGGCAAAGTGCTTAATAATACTTTAGAAGACATTTAAAATATGTTGGTATGCAAAATTTGTAAAGGATTATGCGCTTCGTTACTGAAGCAAATATAGACTTGCGGTGGCCACGCCGGAGGATTGGTTTGTAAATTCTACTCCTAGGGCATGGTAATCAGATAGGGATAAATATTTTCCATATAACCATAGAGGTGTTTAGCGTTGATTTATGACGCTTCTAGTAGACATTTATTGTTTGGTTTGTTAACAATCTTGATTGGATTCTTATTCTTAGACTACCCTGTAAATACAGTGCGTTCAAGAAAGAAATTAAGCTATAGAATTTTTATTTACCATCCTATTTCATTTGTGGCATTTAATCACAGAACAGTTAAGCGCAAAGTGAAACCTATAGCTCACTGAGGTGACATCTTACCAAGACACATTTGATCGATAGATAAAGCACGGCTTGAGAATCTTGGGAAAACGTGTGTAGGTAATGTTGGTGAACTAAGCGGAAGACTCACCTTTGTACTCTGCTATTAGGCCACCTGTGTAACATGTCCATTCACACAGGTGCTACCGATTCAAATGGATGCAACAATGAACTGAAGACTGACATGGTGCCTTATCTGTTTCTACGTCGATTCTGGCTGATACAACTACTAATCATGGCTCTGATAGCTGCCACGGAACCTTATGCCAACCCTTAGGAGAAGGTTCGGTTTGAGGGTAGCAAGGAGAGTGGGAAATACTGGAGATCAACCCACTATCGTCAGTGGAGCGAACTGGGTAAAATGGAGAGGCAGATAAACGAGACGCTGCTTTATGGAATTTTTCGACCTATTACTCTTAAATCTAGAGTTATTTTTTGTTCTGTCGTTTACTGTTCTACTCGCTTCGCACAATGCGCGTTTCAGCCGTTGTGTCACAGCTTATACTGGTCACTTTCATTTTCATTGCTTCATTTCGTTGAACTTTTAGCGCACGGACCGCAGTGTACTTTCAGATTTCCATTCACTTCTACCATTTGCTCAATACTTATTCTAGATATCGGAAGCATTTCTTCAACCATAACTTTTGGTGGTAATCATAAATTAGCCATCTACAGCTGACACGACATGCTGGCAGGGACCAATCATCCTTAGGTACTTTGTACTTTATCCCGCATCGTTTATTATCTGCTGAAAAAGCTATTCTGATAATATTTTCATATTTCCTGACTTCTAAGGCGTTCATTTGACCTTACGTATCGTTCCACACTGGTACCTGCCCGATTTATTGCTGAATTCATGTGCTGATGTTAAACGCAACTAGAAATGTCAGCTTCACGCTACTTGGGGTTGCAATATATCTCAATATTCTCTGCGGTCTAAGTATATTTTCCAAGTTGCCTACCTTTGCTATCGGAGTAGCCAAACGTGGATGGCAGAAGCAAACATTGCGAATCACGCTCGATCTCAGTGGTTCATCACTATGCTACTGCACCTCTTATATTCTGTGAAATTCGGTAGCCTAGGTGGTTTACATGAGAAAGCTATAGGGTCGTTCCCGAGCAGTCAAGTGTTTGTGACGGAACTAGTTTCTTTTGTGTTTTGATCTGACGGTTCAAATTCAGTAGGTGGTTCGGACTAACACATCAACCTTCAAAAGGTGTTCCACAAACTCCGCTGCGTAGTCATACGACACTACTACTTTCTAATAAGCAGTAATCGCCTTAGCGGCTTACGTGCCTCCTCAGTTCGTAGCAGCCTGCAAAAGTAGTTACAGCTTTGGGGTCAGCCCTGTTCTCTGCACATCCATAGCACGCATGGCATTAGAGAATGAGCAAGGCTCAGTCAGTCATGTCGGTCCTCCTCCGTTACCCATAGTTCAGTTGCGTAATTTGCTGTCTCCTAAGATTAAAGTCATCCGATCTGGTGGATGCACGCTACTGACGAGTCCCAATAGGACAAAAGGGCTGTCCTACAGGTTGTAGCATGTGTACTGGCTGCCTGGTTGACTCTAACCGCGACAAATCTTATTAGAAAACGCGTAACAATGCAATACTATCTCAGCATTATAGAGCCATAATAAAGTCTCTTGTTGCTGACGGAGCCATCATAATCCTGCCCACAGGTAATGATTGCACAACGTGCTAACGGATAAAAGAGAACAGGTAAGAATAAAAACTCCGAACAACACAACAGCTCATTTCTACTTGAAAACGATCCATCACTACAAATGGCGAGCAAATTAAATAAATCATTGAGGACACTGTGAAGAGGATCCCGATAACTTGCAGACTAGTAACTCAAGTATTGCACACTTCTAAGGACATCATTATGTGCGCAAAGATGAGGCATTGCTACGAATAATGTCATCACTTCTGGATGCACCCACCTATATCTTGGCGAGTTATTTATGATTACCCAGCAAACCTTTTATCTGCTGACTGCAATACTTAGCAGAGCACACTGAGCAATTTTTATAGGAACTCGAAGGCATGTGAATAGACCATTAGCGAATACTTGCATCCATGAAAATCATTTCTCTGTATGTCGTTTTAAGAAACGGAAGAAGTCAACAGAAGGCATCGATAATATCCGAAAAACCGTAGGCAATGTGACAGCGTTTAATGCCACCTTTTTCCGTTCTGGTGTTCCACTCAATTATGGACGGCCCACTGATCGCTGCATATTATGCGGGTTAGGCGTTAACCACGTCCTCCACAGTACACGCATTCGCCTCTAAGATGTTATATTTTATGCAACCGGACATTAGTGTGCCATTGTACTGTTTTATTCTCACAAAAATCGGTCTCATTTATGCGAACCTATCTTAGTATCCAAAATTTGGAGTAACCAGCTCTACGTTGCTAGTCTTATTCGTGGCCGAAGATTCACTATGCATACTCTTCTCATCGCTTTGTGTAAGCACCCGTTTGGCGCAACACGAGCCACTAATCTTTGCTTCCAGTGGTAAATCTTACAGGAAACCGCGAACAAAAGAATGGTTTTCCAGCTTTAAAGTGACATTTTGTGTTAGAGACTTCGCACCTTGTTCCCAAGGTTCTTCAATGCGACCCAAGTTTGTGACGACTAAAGTCTGAGATCGAGTCAAGAGTAAAGACTACATCCACAACAGATGAATATTCAGCGGTAACACACACTCCTTCAGCAATGTAAAAACTTGTAATATATGCATGAGAACAGAAAAAGTTGGCTAATATATGGTATAGGTAATAGTATGACTACGACCTAAACTAACTGGTGAAATGTTGGGTGGCTGATTTCTGGTCGCGGAAAAAAATGCGTTGGATGTGGACCAACGCACGAGTAGTAGACCTATGTACAGGCGTAAATAGATTTATTTTTCCATTTGGTCAACGCAGTTGATACCAGACAATGCATCATGTAGAGGGTAACTTTTACCTGGGAGCACTTTTGGTGCAAGATGTCAACAAAGTTCGGCTTTACATTTTGACTACATTGTGTCACTTACCCCAATGACCGATCTACTGTTGTAGTATCTACAAAGTAGCCCAAGAAATATCGCATGAGAGCAATATGTCCAGTGGGCCTGCGTACAGGTGGTAGCAATTGTGGTATTAAGTAACGGAGGGCAGAAGGATATGGCGGACGCGAAATTTAAAAAGGAGGCTTCCTAACCCCTGTGAATACTTCGCTCACATGAAGTGGCCAAGGTAGATCGTGGCTTGATGTGGCACATAAATACTTCACCGACGTAAAGGACTGTAGCTCCCCACCATCTATCTGAAGTCCGGAGCATCACACGAGGAGTGTCCGATAACGACCCATTTTGTATAGGATAAGAACGTGATTGCATTTTAATGCATTAAGCCCTAAGCCATGAGGTTTAGCCCTCCAAATTTGTTATCGATATCAGTAAATTTCAAATTCTGCAACCAGAACAAAATTAAGGTGCCTTTAAATGTTATCAGAATGCCCAGGCAATGATGCTTTTCCAGTTGTTTATTCTGTCCCACAGTGCTTCTCGGTCTCTTATGCTAACTGGTTACTGGTACAGGTAAAGCAGCAATTGCCTTGATACTCACATTCATCCGCCTACTGGTTATGCTGCTGGTCATGCAGTTATAAGTCAATTCAAGGACGTTAGTTGTGCTATTGGCTAACTTTACAAGCACGCGAGGACACCGGTACAAACTTATCGTACCGCAGTTGAAGCGGGTAGCTCACCAACTCTGTTTCGAACGAAGAGTGGTGAATACCTGGAACAACCTGCCGCAGCCGGTAATAGAGGCGAATTCAGTGGCCGAATTTAAGAAGCTTCTAGACAAACACTTTGCAGAGGCAAAATATAGAGAGCGGAAGGATAATTAATACGTTAATGCCCAAGAGCGACAATTGATGCAGCTACACAGAGTATGCTCTACTCGCTGCTTCTAATCAGTATCAGTATTCACCCAGTTATAACCTACACATCTGTTCCGTTGTTTTTTTTCAGTTTGCTGCTGAATTGGAATTGTTAGCGGATACCCCACAAAACAAAATCGGCTTGTCAGACAAGAGACGTAAGGATGAGTATAATTGCTGTAAACCATTGTTCATTGCACCGTTATTTGACTTATTATTTCGGGCTGTGCATAGCTGCAAGGTCCTATTTTCTCTCCCAGAACAGCGAGACCACAGTTGTAAATGCTATGGAAAATATTTTTTCAAGTGCGTAGCCACCAAAGGCATTCAGATATAATTCACTTGAGTGCTTGCAATACTGGAAACATCGTTAGGCTCCATCGTTTTTACTTTGCTTGTATCATAATTATAAATTGCTCAGTTTCCTTCATTTGCGTTATCTCGGTATATCTCACCGCTCGCAATGGGCACATCTAATAGTACCGACTTCCAATTCCTGCTAGTAATGTTAGCTGTTCCAATACATTCCATGTAAGTGTTCCCATCGCTAATAAAGTAGCGCTCGATTTCCAGGGGTTAGTTTTGATAGCGTTGCCAACTTAGGTGACGGATTGTTCTGGTCTGCAGCCATACTAGCCACTTACGAACACCCTAAAGTTGATGGATTTCACAAAAAAATTCGTTTTTCTTCCGCCTGCAAATGTAATCCGTATTTTCAACTCAGTATCACATCTCTCCGTTGTTGAAGTACCGTATATTGCCGAATAGAGGGGAGTTGACCTAGAAAAAGGCTATACGCAATCGGCATACACCAACCGACACCAATTTCGAAATGAGGGTCTTCATTCCTCTTGATCAAGTCGTCGCCTGGCCTCCCCTCTTCTTCCATCCACACTCCCGGCGCACAAATAACACAACGCGGGAGTCGGTGGGCTGGCGTGCGTGACAGGTGGTCTAGTCATCGGTGCCTGGTGTGTGATATCACGGTGCTGAGCGGTTCACTCGCTCTTCCTGCACCAAATACGCCACGCTCACGCGGTGCTCCCACCAGACATGAGCTAAGCTGTGGAGCCAGCGATGGTCGAATGTAACTAGCCGCTTTATGTCTGTCGACCTGATGGGCCAGGTTTCACAACCGTATAAGAGGGTTGAGCGGACGGCTATATTCTAAACTTTGCTCTTCAGAGCAAGCGTGACGTCGCGTCTGCACCACAGGTGGTGAAGATTGGCAAAAGCAACTGGAGTTTAAGCTAACCGGTTCGTGACCTCATTATTAGCCCCACGGGCGCTAATATAGCTGCGCAGGCACTTGAATTCCTGAACGACTTCTAGCTGATAACCACCAACGGTCGGCGCAGGGTGGGTCCTTGCCAATCTTGGAGAAGCACTTTGCAGTTCGAGGGTGCAGGGCATAGTTCAAAACAACTGCCAGCCAGGGCTAAGCTGTCCAGGGTGCTTGGCGTGTTATGGAGTTGTCCCCTATTAGGGCAAAGGTTTTTCGCATATTCCTACTCCAGAAACCGTCCACCAGGAAGTAGTTCCTCATCTTCTTGGTCGTGTCCAGCGAACGCGGTTTCCATAACTTCCTCAGTGGCGAAGTTTAAGAGGAAAGGTTACCGTGGGCAAACTTGTCTCACACTGTTGGAGATATTGAAGGGCGGCGAAAGCTTATTGTTATCCCTCACACTTCCTGAACCTTGCGCATACAGCGCCCTGCTAATGTTTACGTACTTATCGGTCACATCTTTCTTTAGCCGACAGTCCCAAACTGCACATCGATCCACCGAATCGAAGGCACCTTTAGTGTCGAGAAACAGGACTATGGTGGGTTGCCAGTAAATAGGGCGGTGCTCCAACAACTGACGCAAAGTGTACATATGCTCAGTACAGCCACGATTTAGACGAAACCCGGCTTACTCCTCAGGAACCGTACTTTCACGAGTGCCAGTCGGTTAGTGGGGAATGACAGACACAAGCAATTTGGAGGCATTGAGATCACACGGCTCCCTCTATGCTTTTCGTATTCTGAACGTGAGCCTCCCTTGAAAGTTTTGTCAATGACGGAGCGGCTGCCGTCTGTTGAGACAGTCTCCTACTTCTAGAGTTTCACTGGTAACTCGCGTAAATTATCTCCAAGAGCTGGTCATCGGAATTTAAAAAGCATTTAGAGGGATCCCATCTGCCCCTGCAACCTTGTGCAATTTCAGCAGTATGATCTCACGTTCGTTTTCTGGGCGTGAGGGCGTGTCCAAATAGACGGCCCATGGAGAAGTGCAATCAATGCCCGAAAATAGTGATATCTCAGATTGGTTAAACTACTCTGCAGTCTTCGACACAACGCTCCAAACGCTTTGACAAGCTGTGGATCGGCTATACGCTATCGTCGCATTTGGTCTCCTGAATAACTTCCGACGGTTACCAACGGCAGCGTTATTCTTATCGGATCTGAACGTGGGTTGTCCTTTAGATGTAGCGTTTACCTTCACGCGCACGAATGTTCCGGGCTGGAGCGGAGTAGTATGCTTCTGGTAAGTAGTCTGATATCGATGGCAACGATCTAACTCGTCGGAATTATTGGTTGCAGGAATAGAAAGTGCGGCATTCAACTTTGTCCGAAGGGCGCGCCCATGCATGAGTTCAGCTGGCGTTTTGTCTGTGGCTCGGTGTTGTGCGGTTCGGTAAGAAAATAGTGCTTGTAGAACTGCATCCTCCCAACCTGTAGCAGATAACCGAATAGTTTGGATACTTTATTTCAAGGATCGATTGAACCGCTTTACCATGCCGTTTGCCGCTGAATTATACGGCATTGTATGTGAGTGCCGGATAGCGTGCAGTTGAAGGAACGAATGAAACTCGTGGCTTGTAACCTGCGGCCCGTTGTCCGTCACTATCTCCTCTACTAATCCGAAGCGGGGAAACATATATTTCTGCCATCGAATAATGCTGGCAGTAGTCACCTCTCCACACAAATGGACTTCCGGCCACTTACTGTAAAAGCAGGTCGCCACCAAACAGTTCCTTTGATGCTGAGGCGCTGAGCTAAATGGACCCATGATGTCAACAGCTAACTTGGCCCACGGTCGCACAGGATAGTCAATGGGTTGTATAGGGGATGACACCGGCCTTGAACTCTTGTCTGCCTTTTGACATGAAGAGAAGTCATGAACAAGTTTCTGTATTTCGTGTGACATTTTGGACCACCAGAAGCATGCGTCAACCTTGCGTTTCGTACGAACGATACCAGGGTGGCTTTCGTGAGCACATAGCATGATCTTTTGTATCAAGCTCCGAGGAGCCACAAATTTTTCGCCACGCATTAAACATTCATCTATAAATGAAAGTTCGTGACGCAACACGTGGTAAGGATGAAACTCGCCTGTGACCTTGTTAGTTTGTGGCCAACCGTTTAGCAGAAACCCCTGAATGCGGCAGAGTGTCTCATCTTCCTGAGTCGCCTTCTAGAGTTCTTCCTTAGTCAGGGTTGAGATTGGTACATTACTCAGGGAAGACAACAGTAACCTCTCATTATCATCCTCATTATTTTCAGTTTCGTTGAGGGGCAGTCGAGAGAGCACATCCGCTACTTGGTTTTCGCGTCCGGGACGGAATTTAATTTGAAAATCGTATGTTAACAATCATGCATACCAGCGATGTATCCGAAGTGGCCTGATACCATTGGTTCCCCAAGTAAGTAAACTAGTTAGCGCTGCGTGGTCTGTACGAAGAGTGAAGGGTCTTCCGAACAAGAACAAATTCCACTTCTCACAGGCCCAAACACAGGCAAGGGCTTCTTTTCCCCGGCAGAGTAAGAAAGTTCCGCCGCCGACCATTTTCTGGAAGCGTATGCAATAACTCTTTCATGCCCATTTTGAATTTGGGATAGTATAGCACCCCACCCCATGTTTGATGCATCTGTAGAGACAATCGTTGGGCACGTCTCGTCGAAAATCGCCATTACTGGTGTGGAAGCAATGCGGCGTTTTATCTCGTCAAATACCTATTGTTGGGGTAGACCCCAAACAAATGCACTTTTCTCCTTTGTCAGTTCACGCAGTGGCTCAGCAATATTTGTGAAATCCTGCAGGCAACGTAGGTTGTAAGAACACATACCTAGAAAATGCTTTATTTCAGTGAAGTTCTGTGGGCAAGGAGCCTCGGTGATGGCACGCGCGTTGTCAAAACTCGGCTTCATACCGTCATTTGTTATAATGTGGCCCAGGAACTCGATCTTATTAGCATTACATCTGCACTTCTCGAGGTTTAATCGGAGGTTAAGATCGTGTAGTCGACGTAACACAGCATGCAGTCGTGAATCATGTTATTCTGGATTCCCACGGAATACACAGACGTAGTCCATGTATACTATTTGACTAGGTAAATTAGCAAATGAGTGAACCATAAACTTTTGCCAAGCTGCTGGGGCTGAACTCAAGCCCATTGGCAAGACTTTGTACTGAAAGAGTCTGTCCATAGTGAGAAATGCTGTCAGCGGTCTTGACTCCTTAATTAAAGGCATGTGAAAGAACGCCTTCCTAAGGTCCAATTGGGAAAAATCTCGGGCGCCGGCTAGTTTAACTAATAGTTCATCCGCGGTTAGAAGCGCAAACTTTTCTACCACGATTTGCCGATTTAGAGCCTGCAGGTCATTGCATCTTCTTACTGTACTGTCCTTCTTGGGGACTGTAACCATAGGGTGGACCCACTCAGAACAGTTAATGGGTTCAATGAGATCATCTGCAATCATCTGCCGTAATGCTGACGAAACAGCCTCTCTTCTGGCCCAAGGAATTGGACGTGGATGAGCAATAGGTACCGGTTTAGCATCCTGCTTCAGACATATGCGGTGAACGGAGGACGAAGCGTGACCTGTTGTTTGTTCAAATAATTTCGGGTACTGTATCTGTAGGTCTGATAGGTTAATTGCCATGATACGCATACGAGATAGGGAAGGCGTGACTCCCAGTGCAACCATAGCGTTGCGTCCGAGTAAGGGACGGTTATTTCCGCAGGTAACGTACACAGCAACAGATGATTTCACGGCTCCAAGTTGCAACACAGTCACCACAAATCCCCGTATTTCTACCGGGGCCTTTGTATAACTGTCAAATCGATAGGCTGAAGGATGTATAGGCATGTCATGTAGGTGAATGTCATAAAA